TAAATCTACAATCCCGAACTCAAATTCAGCTTTCTTATATGTGTATGTCTATGGAATGGAAAACATACTTTTTTGCATTTCACTAATGCAAAAAACTCACATAAATCAGCTAGGGGCAGAAAGTGAAATTGATAAATTTGAACGATTCGAAAAAACTGTATGTCTTTTCCAGCATTTACTGGGACAGGGGAGGAAAGGACATTCACAAAGAGATCAAAGAAGGTTCAACAAATTCACTCTTTAGCCGCCCTCAAAACACATCGATTATACAAACGTCTGCGTACGAAGAATTTTAAAAAAGAAATCTTACTGTTGCGGTGATGTTTGCTTTGGGCAACAACTGTTCATAATTGGGGAAGACGGGATAATGTGCGTTTACGCTTCCACCGGAGGCTGCTGAGGGCACACGCGTCACGTACAACCGATTGTCCGAAACTTTGGCACCATGACCCAATCCGTCCAGAATTGTATAATCGATTGGAGTATGCTGGTATCGCTGAGGACGCTCCTTAAACACGACAAGAAATGTATACGATAATGGATCTTCCAGTCGAAAATCCATTATTTGCACCTGTCTCTAAACATGTAACTCTGCAGCCAAGATGCTGAAATTTTTCGAGCATTCTGGCTGCAGAGTTACGTCAAAATATATGTGTTCGTACGTTAAGACATGAGGGGAAAACGCGAAAGCTGTTTTCATGTATTCCTACCCAAACACAGTCCTGGACCATGCTCAAAAAACTTCAGCGCTCTAGTTATTTTGGTTGCGGAATTGAGTCAATCTGCACGCGTCTGCACGTAAAATGTGCGCAGGATGTAGAAGAAACCTGAAAGTTGTTTTCCCGTGCATCTGCCCAAACACAATCCTGTGCCATGCTCAGATTACAACTCCCACCAGCTTTCTAAGCAGTCCAATCTCACGTGAGTGCAGTGCCAAAAAGAATTTAAACTTTGACATGTTAGAGTGCGTGAAGGATAAATTTAAATTCTCTGGATTACACGCCGGCAAGAAATATTTCCAGCCTTCCAGCTCGCCTGGTTCTCGAACTCGATTTCTTGCCAAAAAAAATGTTAACACATCTATATGTGAGGACACCTATTTTATGCCTGGGGTGCACTATGCAAGTGTAGACTAAGTTGAGCCAAAGTTTCAGCTTTGAAGCATTCACAGGTTTCGAGATCGAAATATGCAGATACACACATACACTCAGAAATACACACACACACACACACACAAACACACACAAAATTAATGCATGTGAAGAAGCCTGTAGTATCAATCAGATACATCGATGTAAAGACTGTATTAACATGCGAAATGACTAGCACACTCATTCAAAGGATCACCGTAACTTCAGCTATTCCGACTTCTCCTTCCTTTTTCCCGTGCCCATTCCCCGGACAGATAAAATGCTGCCTGCCATTAAATTTGGATAAAAAACTAGAACAAAAACCAACAAACCTGTGTCGCAATAACAGTAACTCTGGGCTGCTTCTGTACGCTCCTGTTCACTGTCAAGAAACCGATTTCTCGTCTGGCTACTTTTTCCTTATGAATCGCAATGATTTCGGCCACATTCAAAACC